CGCTCGAGGAAGTCGATGATCAACGGGACGACAGGTGATACAGGTGAGTATTTATATATAGAACAGAAAAGAGTATTAGCGTACAGCAGATATGTTCATTTGTTCTATAGAAAGGGGAGGGATTGAGCAGCGGAAGAACGAATAAGCTTCTTCATGATTAGGGCGTGGAAAAAGTGATATGCTTCGTTTCACAGTTAGTACCCAAATATGTGAAGTCGGTACGGAAACGGTGCCGAGCAAAGTTGAGATCCATGAAAATTTCTCGAGCGTAAAAAAGTAAGAGAAGGGACTGACTGGCACGAGGTGTTCATGCGGCATGTTGTCAAGTAACAAAATAAAGAAATATATTGTGGGTGAGAAACCAGCGTGAAGGCACGCTATCTGGCCTCTCGTGTGTGTATGCACTGATAATATCAGGATTGCTTTTAATATCCTGTGACAGTCATTTATTGCTCAATAATGACGCGTCCAGGCATTTATATACCTAGGGAGTATTGCGAATGTTACAGGAATAGCAAATTCATCCAAGAAATATCAAATAACAGTATAAAGATCAATCAAAATTGCTGAGCTAGCACCATAGAGTAAATCAACAGATCATACTTGACCGAGCATATTAATGGCTTAATTCTGATATATCACGACTCCGGCACTCTCGGAGGAGCGAAGCATAGCATAACGACAGTGCATGCGAAAGCGATACCACTATTTATCTTTACAGAGTTACACAAGAGATAGACATCAGAAATGGAGAATAAATCTTTTTAACGAGAAGCATATCTCCGTGTCGACTTCATTGCCAGGCCATAGACATCAAATTTAAGTCTCAGTGAAACCACCATCACAGAACTTCCAGCGAGACCGTCCAGCCGATTCTGACGCCAGAATGCAATAAGAGAACGACGATTTCGACCTGATAAGCAAAAGGGTTGAGCTTCTCCGGAACAAAAATAAACGAAGACGTCTACTAGAAGGAGCTCCTGAAGAAGATTTCTTCCAACGAGATGATCAGCCACACTTTTCCATTTTGTGCAAACTATAAGCCTGTACGCACGCAAGAATAGAAGCTGTCAGTGTATTGAAAACGTGGACATAATGGCCATTTCCAAGGTGTCGAATGTGTGACTCAACAGCACAGCGAGGAGCTGACGAGCAGAACAACGGTTAAACAGCAGAACCAAATACACTTAGCAAGTCGAGAGCGGATGACACTATCGAGCGCCGGTCGAAGCAAGTCCCCCAAACGCAGATGCGAATGGGTCAGTTGACACTGGATTAGGTGGTGACGAGCAGACTAGCATATAAATAGGCGGAAGACGACGAGTACATGAATAGAGTGCAACAGCAAAGGAGCATGCAATGCACTTGTTGTCAAAGACCCATCAATACAATCTTCACTGCGAAGGGAAAACAAGCTCGGAACTTTTCTTTGTATGCCACAATCGATGGACGTATCGAGGCATTGTGATATACTGCAAGACGCGCAGAGATTACTGCAGTTTTCGTTATGTCGTAGATTGCTGGCATTGATGCAGAAACCAAGATTAATAGGTGGTACTGCTCGGGTATCGGCATCTAGATAATGATAGGTGAATAGTGATACCTGTTTGATAGCTGCTGGCCAATATTCGAGAGATATATTTGATATTCTATTCGTAAGGCCACATCCAACTAGGAAAAATTGATCATTGCATTGAAGAGAAGTCTATGCTCCGCGACCTGAACTAGAGGAAAATTTGCCCATGTCACTAGTTTTGCTTCTTTTCAGTCTTTTTCATTTTAGTCAAAAACTTCATGTAGGGGATTGCAGACCTTTTTCTGAATAGGAGAACAGTGCCTAGCGATAGAAGTGATATTGCATATGGAGCCTGAGAAATAGAGTAGTTTGTGCAGTTGGGATAATATTTCAACTCATAGCTCGACCAATGGATCCCACTTTGTGCACTTCGCTATGTTGTGTGCCGCTGACACGGACACGACATTGACACGTGAGCAACTCGATACAATTAGCATGCAAGGAGTAATCAGCAGCCGCATGGTGGACCCTTCACAGGTGTTACCATGATTCAACCTGAAGGATTTAATGCGGTGGAGAGGCAGTCATAACGCTAGGCTTAATTAGCGAGCATACTTCTTTTTGACAAGAGCACGCACTATGCATCTGCCACCGCTAAAGATTTCGTTTCATGCGTCTTCCGTGAAAAAAAGGTCTTCGATGCAATCAAGCATTGTAGAGAGCCCTTACAATTGTAGGGTGCCAAACGAGGCGTGCGAGTCATTTCGGTGTCGACGACGTTGTTATGTCTTCGGATAGAAGCTCTTCATTTAAGTTGAAGGTGCATTTGCCCCGCAAAGTGGCATTCCTGCAGATCCTATTTGGCACGCTCGCAGGTTGTGAGACGTCATTGTTGGCAGAAGTACAGCTGCTCTTTGCTGTTGCTTGCCCGTCCCGTCTGATTGAAACATTTTAAAGGTCGCTGTCTACGTGCCTACTTCAAATGTCTTTGTGCTATTTGTTATCTCGTGCACGTAGGAAAGCGAACCGGAGCCATTCGCATAACGTTAACATGAGTACTTCCCTGCGCTAAGCTCTGAGAGAGATTGTCAAATTATCAGATTTTATCAGGTCCCATGACGATAGTATTTGAGACACATCGCACGCTTTTGGGGTGCATTTTGAGACTGAGGTGGGAGCGGAGGCAGTGTAGTGGCAGGTCAACCAAGCTTTCCATCTCTCTGGAGTCGATTAGTTGGTATCAGACTCGTCTGGGAGGATAAAAGCACTGGCTTGTACATCGGCTGGCCACCACAATTCATTGTATAGGCCACATACGCCCTCATTATGCTATTCTAAATGGAAGTCGAGTGTGACGGCGCATCCCTCAGACGGGATTGATTATCGCCAAAAACTTTGAACTTCAACTTCGAGACTGAGTATCCTGAGAGAAATGTAACACCGAAATGATTGGCCTTCAATTTAAGTGAGATCACTTCCCTTGACCATTGTGGCACGAGCATCCACGTAAGCTTACAAACCTTTCTACATAAATCCTTCTTGTTCCAGCTCGCTGAGGCTTTTTTGTATGCTGGAAGAAGACAAATTGTGACTAGTGTCCCTTTGAGCTCCGTCTTCTCTTAGATTCAGAATGCGAGCTTTTGGGGCCTGCGCACTCTGAAACAAGTAGTACACATTGGCGGGGTCAGAAGCGACAGATTACACCATTTCTATAGCATCGCCATTTTCATCGCTGTCTAGCTGCTCAAAAATATTCTTTTCAACTGAACCTGCAGGTGCAGGTTTGTTGAGCGTTTGGTGCTAGGGTCTTTAGGTAATTATTCATCACATTTTGTACGAACTCCGTCCTCCTTCACTGGTAAACCTCCCTCATTAGAGGATCTCTGGCCGATTGATGACGAGACTGCGTGGCACTGGGAAGCGGGCATTGGAGGAAGTTCGGGAGACGAGTGCCTCCCACAACTAAGCTCCTCGTCCATCCTGGAATAGCAGGCTTTTGAAATCTCATGGTCAAAATGGGCTGTCTGAAAAAAGAATGACTGAGACGGCGGCGGTGTGTTTTTCAGTAGGAAAGATACAAATGGACCACATTTGATCAAGCATTGCAACAAAGAAGTCGTGGTGTGCCATTACATTACTGGGTGGTATTTGAGGAGAGGCACGAGGGATCTTGCTAGTGTAGTGAACAAGCGCGGTGATCGAAACGTAAAAGCGAGTTTTTTTAAAACTATGTCCCACCTATGATACAGTGAAAAGAGGAGAGAAGATAGAAAACTGAATCAGGTATGGCTTGGCTTTAGGGCAGAAAAAACCATAAATTAAAAATATATGTTCGTCTTTCAATTTTGCTGTATTCCGTCGATGCTAGTCATGGTGTTAGCACGCGACGAACGAAAATTTTGCTAGTGCGTCCCCCACGAACGGGCGTCTACTTCGCTGCACCGGCTCTGGCGACTCAGGAAACGCGACAACTGTAAACGACGACGATATTAATTAGCTTCAACGCTTCATTGCTCAATAGTAACGAGGAATAGGAAGAGTCTGCAGTGTCCTCGTTGTCAATGATGATGGAGATGAATTGAATAGTGACGCACCAGAAGACGTGTTTTTGATAGTGACAGCTGGTCGTCTGATGTGACAAAGTTTAACACCTTTTTATTTGAACAGGAAGTTGATTTTTTAAAAACCGATGACACCATCTACAGCAGACCTTTCGACTTCCGTTTTTTTCAACGAAGAGTTGCTTGCTTTTGTGCAGAGAACCATTGAATGCGGACTAATCAAGTCGGCGAATTTGTGGAAAACCGATGAACAAGAAGTCATGTGATTCTAAAATGTGCTTGAAACTTTTTTCGTTAGCAGTCGGGTGAACGCTAACCTTTAACTATTTCTTTTATGTCGGCAATATTGAAACGTCCTGATATAAGCGAATGACAGGAAATTATCACCTGGCAGCCCATATGAGCTACTCGGCGTGAACGTGTTAATAAACTGTAGCAAATATAATCCAAAAAATATAGTAGCAGGTATGGTCCAGCAAATTCCAAAGCGCGACGTGATCTTGTAACGAACGATCTGTGTAATCGATAAGTACGGCGCTTGGAAAGTGATGTGCAAGGTCGGATGTCTTCTAGAACTGGTTCTCTCTATGTGACACGGTATTGTTTTCAAGCAGTACACCTAGTCTATTATAGCACCCAGTGGAGTCAATCCAATGAGTTCTCATTATTCCGAGAGAAACAGCAAATGAGTTTTTTATGAGAATGTTTTCAGAAGTCATTTGAATCAACTGAAGTTCCATTGGGACGAACATTGTTCCGGTTGTACTGCAGAAATGCTGTTTCCGGATTGAAGTCATTGTTGAGGTAATTGTGCAGGATGGCAAAACTAATGCTGATGCTGATTGTTTATTCATTGATTGAAGAGCAGTGATGTCGGCTTCATCGTCAATGCCTTCAGTGGAAATCGAATATTCTGACGTTTTAGGAGAAATAATTTATAAAGGATCGGTGAATGTTCGAGCAGATGATGTATCGTATAGCGTGCAATGACACTTATTTCAGAGTATACGAATGAAAACAGGAGATCTCAAGGCGTTTTGCAGAGTTGAGGAGAAAGGGAGGTCTCTCGGTATGCGCTTCCTGACTACTTTCAATTGTCGTTCTGCAAATAATCCTCACCGTACTCTCGACATTCGTTATTACGACGAGCCTAAAACGAACGGATCACGAGTCGTCGTTGGTGGTTTAGAACCTTTCAAGTTTCTTATTCGTATTTGTTAACTTCCACTGATTCCAAACAAAGTGAAAAGCATACATTATCATCTGCCGTTCATTTAATGCTAGTTTGATTTGTGTCCAATATTTTGTTAGACCAAGGACTTCATACTGTATATCCTTTCACGGAAAACATCTGCATGGAGAATTCTTGAATGAAGCGCTCACTAACATGGGCACAACGTTTGAAGCGCTCCCCTTTAACTAGATGAATTGGAGGTCTGTTATTCAAAGATATTTTCTGAACTGAACATTCATCCTTTGTGATGTATTTGGGTCTGTTTGTAGACGTTCGTATTTTGTGCCATTGTGCACTTTGGCCTAGATGCTAAAGTTCTTGGCGACTTTTTCAATTCTTTGCCAAATGTTTTGGTAAAGCTCGAAGTCGAGTTTGAGTCTAGTAACAGATTTGCTCAATCATTTTGATGGGATCCAATACAGAGCAGCATACAAAATTCTGCTATAGATTAGCTCATACTCTTTGGCTTCGCTCCTCCCCTCTCACCTCTTCTCATCAGTTTGCTAGGTCTGAGCGCAGTTCTCACGGGAAGTTTGTTCGAGACTTCTTCCGAATGCTGTACGTCGTTTCGCACAAAAGACGTACCCCTACAGCGAACCTCTTCTACACTACAAAACCAATCGAAAGCAGGCATATCGAAAACCTACAACTATCATGCTCATTCTTTGGATAAGTCGGAGAAATCGATAGCTGTTCTTGCAATGGAAGTTGTTACTATGGCTCCATTACGTACAGCTCCACGTCAAAAATGCGTTTCATCTTAGAAGCCAATGCCAGACCAGGCTTCCTTTTTTCTATGCCGAATTACGAAATACCTACTGATACCTTTTTCCCCATACTTCTTGACTTGAGAAATGCTGAATGGCAAACATCTTTCAGTACAATTAGGTATTGATCGGTTGTTGATTTATCGGTGTTTCGACTTTGATTGACCACAGATGATCTATTCACTACGGCGTGAATCCCACCACAATCACGTGACTTCCACTGAAATTGGACATTCCATGTTCAGGGATTGAACATCTGCGAGTACTCTGCCAGCTGCAAAACAAATAGGCATCTATCAACTCGTCCATGAAACCCTATAATATTAACTTCATCCCAAAGCTCCGTGCCAGAGGGAGGTGGTTGAGATTTCTGCTCCACTTTTATAGTTATAGTTTAGACGCACCAAGTCGCAAAAGATAGGATCGCATATGACACAACAAAATGCTATTCATTGGGTGTGTATTGATCGAAATTGGCCTATATTCTCGCAGTGCAACTCTCATCGTACCTGGACCTTATCGGTCATTCAGGTGACAAACCAGTATCTGCTGGTAACATTTAATCGATTTCGACAACAGCCCAATGATAAATACACTTGACTGCATTTTCTCGGAGTTAGGACGGCACGCATTGGGAGCGAAGCTGTGAAGGAATGTCGAATACATAACCTGAAAGGGTTTGTCAATTTTGGATACCAACTCCATCTCCCTGTTTTGGATTGACAAGGACGACTACCTCACAAGGTTGGCGATTTATAGACAAAATTTCAGTCTCGGACGGGACTCGAACCCGTACTTGTCCTTTTCGAGGACGGTGCTCTTATCCCTTACGCTACCGAGACCCCGCTTGCCCTAGCCTTCTTAATGGCTTATATGCCATAGCTTATCAGCACTCACACGTACAACGAAACTATGCAGAAAAGCAATAAAGAAGGATTTGAAAGAGAGACGAGAAGCAGTTGTGGGCGAAGGCGCCGAAGCTGGAGAGAGCATCAGCAAAGCCTGATGGAGCTCCGCCAATTCCAAAATTAAGACGACTTCCCTTCGTCGTCTTGACGGAACTGTGGGTGCATCTCGGAGGGCAACGGATAAGGCCATCTACGACTTCTACTCTGATCTCTTCCACCACCATACCTTCCTACCTACTTACCCTCTCGGGCAAGACGGATATGTCGTCCATTCGATTCTCCCATCTGGAATTCGGCTATGTCGCTGTACAAAAAGGGAGCGTTCCCAGCGGCGTTGGCAATTATCATGCCTGAACAGGATTGACAGAGTTTTAGATGAAGAACAGCCATGCGATCAAGTAGGTTTTCTTCGAGGGTTTAGTACATCGATTATATCCATACCCTTACAACACTCTTTAAAGTAACGCGATAGTACGTAATGTCGTTATGTCTGACGATCATCGATTTGAAGAAAACCTCTGGTACCGTCGAGACAGGAGCAGTAATTAAAGCCTTGGGTAATGGGGTGTTCCTACAATTATATAGGCTTTACACCTCGCCATTTTATAAAGAAGTCACCACTAACCACCCCATACTTTTCAGCGCCGAGCTGGGAAACATCATGCGTCATATGGAATGGGAAGGCATGGGGTGAAGGTCGTCGGCCGCTACACACACCATCTCCTTTGCAGAGCTCATCGTGCTTAGAATACCGAACATCGAGCATTCGAAACAAATGCTGGCCATATTCGACAGTGCCGGTGAAAGATCGGCTCACAAGTGAACCTAACGAAGACGGTGTCAATGAGAGATGGAATGGTTCCTGATGCCTTTTTTTGCGCTTTTTTGAACAAACGGATTTCTCAGAATGCTCTGGTCAAGTCTGTCTAACGGGAAGTCAACATAATGATCAACCTATCTCCGGAGCTGAGTAGAAGGAAACGCGCTGCGTGGGGAGCATCCAAAATATCTAGGGAGTAGTGAAGGGGACAAAAAACATCCGGCTCCGCGCTCACTTTTTCGCACTTTTTTCTACTGTCCTTTCTACTTTGACGTGTGCCTCGGAGGCTTGGATTCTACGAAAGCAGGATGGGCATAGTGTCGCTCGCTTTGTTAGGTCGTTGCTCGAAACTTCCCTATACACCCAAGTGCAGAAGGGAATCCGATGTTTCAATTTCCGTCATCGAACGAAGGTTAGGGATGCCGTTGATAACGCCAAGAAATCGAAAATCAGATGAGGCTGACACGCCACGCGATGTAATGGCGACCGTTGGACCAAGGCGGTTACTGACTGGATCCCTCGGGACATCAAACGAACTCCAGGAAGGCCGCCAACGAGATGGTCAGACCTCTTCGCGAACGCTCTGAATGAAGGGACTGCTGGGCCTTGTGTCCTTGAAAGGAGGACGATTTACTGGACCACTCTGGCTTGTGAGATGGATGAATGGAGACATTACTGGCGCCCGCTCGAGGAAATTGGCGATCAAGGGGATGTCAGGTGATGCAGGTAACTGATGCATTAACAAAGTTGGAAAGTGAGGTATTGAAGGGAGACGTGACTGTGTCAGCGGTGTAGTGAGGCACGTCGTTCTGTCTACCGGGTCGATGAATAATGTAGAGTAGTCGAGCGTAAGCCGCGAAAGAAGAGAGTTTTTAACGGTATCGGTCCTTTGCCTTGTGTCGTCTTTGCTGTTCCGTGGCAGCCACTTAATAGTTTTGACTAGGACGCCTGTTCGGTAGGTTTATCTCAACTGTGTGGGCTTCTACACACAGATTTTATTTATCAAGCCTTTATTGTGCGGCGACTAACGACTAACATAGGCTGACAATGACTAACAACTAAAATGGGCAAAGTGCGACTGACGACTGAAGGCTACTAATGACTGACGACTATTAAAGGCAAGGCACGACTGAGGACTAAAAGCAAAGAACAACTGAAGACCATAGGCAAGGAACAACTGAGGACTATAGGCCAGGAATGACCGTACTGTTTCCTCAGTCGAGGAAATAAAGGGTTGGAGGTGGAGCCTCCGCATGCTTTCAATATACATGGAACAATGGAAACGTGGCGGCTGCGCGGTCTGCCGCGACTTTCCCCGACTGCGAAAATTTTTTGAATAGTGCAAAGCTATATGGGAAACAAATAGAAAAATGGGAAATAAGCATACATTTGAATTATTGACGTATAGAAGAGATGAATGGGACCAACTACGCAAAATAACGCTCACTCGACATTGTCTTTTCGATGAGTCACTCGCGAACTAGCCAATCGAAGCCTGGCTCCTGCCCGTGACCTGAACAGAGTGTTAGTTGAGACTGTACTGACGACTGAAGCGTTGTGAAAATAAACATAATGAGACATATGTTGACAGTGGGCTTTCATCGCCGAGCTATGAGTGATTGGCCAAAGAGCGAGAGGTTTTTGTTTCGTCTGGTGTGAACGGTAGCTTTGCGTTTACATTTCAAGGATTGGGCATATGAATGAGTACAAAGCAGGTGCGTAATTAAACAAATCAAACTTATAGAACATGTAATGAACTTGTAAAACATGTCCAAATCAAACAAGCAGTAAATCAAAATCAACTCATCATCAATCCGATCGATGACCTTTTCCTGGCGAGCCAGTTGTTCCTTTTGTATTGCAAAAAATTGCATGATGCGGTCCACCGCATTTGCGACACTTTTTGAGATAAATACCTTGTGCAGTAACCAGACAGGACGTGCACTTGTCTCGATCTCTCAGACGAAGAGAGCGAGACACCGTATCGGGGAATAGGGTGCAGGATGAAGAACGGTGTTCTTCACTGTCGCGAAATAAGCATGGAAGTCGAGGGGGAATGGACTATCAAAGAGTCGATCTTGGTTTCGATGGAAGTAAGTTTACTCTGAATAGCTTGCATTGTAGTGGCTAGCATATTCAGAGTGAGTTGAATCGATGCCTTGAATGGGTAGAGATGACGTGTGGCTGCGAGGCCCAGTACAGGAGTGTTGCTATTATCGGGCGCGCTGTCAGAAGGTGCAGATGTCATGCGAGGGTCGTCGGTCATGAAGTCTGAGGAGCACTCTCTCACAAGAAGGGGACTGCTGTTTACGTTCGAAAAGGTAACATGGCGGAAGAGTAAAAAGAGGATTCTTCAGTTGCGAACTCTAACGATCGTAATTCTAGGAAGGGTTGTTCGTATGCTATCCACACATTTGAGGAACCATTTAAACACAAATATTGCAGTTATGATAACAGTTTTTACGATTGCAACAATCGCAATAGGTCCAAAAAAGTAAATTGCGAATCCAATTAGCCCTGTAAGTGTTGTTATTGCTAGGGTGCTCTTCTATTGTGTGAGATTGGTGTGCATAAGAGGACGCAGGTCCCCGATGGAGAAGTCATTCCACTAGCTGTTGTTCACGTTAGTGTTTTTGCCGATGTTGCAGTCTTCGTCCGGTACTGAACTGTGGTAGTGGAGAGTGCCTGCTAGGGAAATTGTTTGGCGTTTACCTGCACAGTGAACAGATGTCATCTACGTGTGCACGATTGTATTCTAGAGATATAACGTTGCTCTCGTTTTGAAGTGAACATTTTAGCAGGCGTGACTGGTCTGTGCAGTCAAGGACGACTTCACTTGCTTTGATGGAATAATAGTACGACTGTATTTTTGAAGCTTTTCGACAGCTATAGCAACCCCATTATAGTTGTTGTATGCAAGAAATAAGGCTGATCAACCAGAAGTTATACCACTTGAAGATGCTCATGGGACTCAATTAGTAATGTGATTTCGGTATCGTGAGTGTCCGCTACAACCGTATCTGCTGCACTTATGTTGAGATGAGGTGTTACATGTGGTAGCTCTTGCGCTGTGTATTTCATTCCGTGCATCGTTCTTTGAGGACAGTTTCATTGCACCGCGTCCTTACTGAGGGCGCATGCGCAGGTTATGACATTTTGGCATGCGTTGAGATGTTCCGCGCCGTTGCTGCATCTGGACATTCAAATGGTACTTTAAATTGATCGTCCAGTATCATATGCATGTACGGTGTGCGACAAAACGTCTACTGAGGAAGCAGGAGGCCTACCGCAGTTCACGATGGAATGTTTGTGCTGGATGGAAATTACATTTATGGCCAATCCTGGAATGGTATACGTACGTAGGGGTGTATTCGTGGAGGGACCTTTGTTGAGTTGTCTGGAATGGGGAAGTGAAAGTTTAAATGGATTTCTAAGCTCCACGATGAGCATGCAAAGACGTGGTGTACTTCTTCAGTGTGAACTTGTGCAACTCTGTAAAACAAGCAAAATGGGAATGGTAGGATGTGGAGCAACCACATGCTATGCCTTCACAAGAAGCGGTGCACGTTGAATTACCAGAATAAATTCTGCTTCACGCAATTCGGGTATCGAGTCATTGCGATTCATTGTTGCGCAGATAAGGGATAACATCACCTGTATCACCTGTCGTCCCGTTGATCGTCGATTTCCTCGAGCGGGCGCCAGCAACGTCTTCATTCGTCCGTGTTACGAGCCAGAGTGGTCCAATGAATCGCTCCAGGGACACGAGGATCAACATTCCTTTCGTTCAGAACTTTCGTGAAGAAGTCTGATCATCTCGTTGGCGGCCTTCCTGGAGTTCATTTGATGTTCCGCGGGATCCTGTCAGTAACCGCCCTGGTCCAACGGTCATCACTATATCGCATAACGTGTCCGGCTCACCTAATCTTCGATTTCTTGGCGTAGTCAACGGCATTCCTGGTCTTGGTTCGTTGAGGGAGCTCGGAACTCCGGATTCCCTTCTGCACTTGCGTGTACAGGGAAATCCCGAGCATCGTCCCTTCCAAAACGCGTTGAGTAACGCTGACAGCATGCTCATCTTGCTTTCGTAGAGTCCAAGTCTCCGAAGCGTACGTCAAAGCAGGAAGGACAGCAGCGTCGAAGAGGTGAACGCGGAGCCGGATGTTCTTTGTCTTCTTTACTACTCCCTCGATATTCCTAAATGCTCCCCACGCGGCCCTTTTCCTTCTGCACAGCTCCGGAGCTAGGTCGTTCACCATGTTGACTTCTCAACCTAGATACACGTAGCTAGAGCAATCGGAGATATTCCTTCCGTTTAACGTGAAAGGAGCACCAGGTACCAGTCCGTTTTTCATGAACATCGTCTTCGTTAGGTTCGCCTCAATCCGATCTTTCCACAAGCATTGTCAAACTCGGCCAGCATTCGTTCCGCCTGTTCGATGTTCAGGGTTATAAGCACGATGTCATCTTCAAAGCGGAGGTGATGTAGATAGCAGCCGTCGACCTTCACTCCTAAGTCTTCCCATTCCAAATGACGCATGACGTTTTCGAGAGCGGCACTGAAAAGTTTGGGCGATATGGTTTCGCCCTGCCTGACACCTCTCTTCACGTTGATAATGACTTCCTTGTAGAATGGTGAAATCCTGGTCGCAAAGTTGTCGTAGAGCTCACGAAGCATAGTAGGAGCACCCTGGTTGCCCAGGGCTTCGATTACCGCTTCTGTCTCGACAGTGTCAAAGGCTTCCTTCAAATCGATGAACGTAAGACATAACGGCATTTTGTACTCTAGCGATACTTCAATGAGTCTTGTAAGAGTGTGGATATGATCGATTGTGCTGAACCCTCTCCGAAACCCCGCTTGCTCACATGGCTGTCCTTCATCTAATATTCTGCCAATCCTGTTCAGGATGACGCAAGTGAAAAGCTTATAGTTTACAGACAGCACGCAGATTGGGCGATAATTGCCAATATTGTCTGAATCTCTCTTTTTGTACAGCAACACAGTCTTGCTAGTTTTCCACGACGTAGGCACTTTGCATTCCGTCAGGTATCGCGTGAAGAGCCTAGNCACCCTGCTGATTCCATTCCATTTCGTGAGTCCGATGTGGAGCTCTTCTGCCGTTTTTCTGGGGCCAATCTTGACGTTAAAATCACCGACGATGACCTTGAAGAAAGTGTGGTCTTCTCTGTAGAGCCTCTCCAGATCTATATAAAACGCTTCCAACTCCTCTTCTTCGTAGCTCGATGTTGGTGCGTAGGCAACGAAGATGGTTATAGCTGGGGTTGAGCCACATCTTCTTAATGGCAAACGTCCGATTCGGGTTGTTACACCTTCCTACGAATCTATGTTCATGGCCAAGTGCGTATTGACGAGGACACCTACGCAGCCGACGCCTTTGCAGTCGCATGTTCCAAGGAATAGTTCTTTTCCAGTCTCAAATACAGCGTGCAGCGGGCGATGCCTTCTCGTCTCGGTCAGTCCGATGAAGTCGTACTTCATCTTCCTAGCTTGCATCATCAGGTCTTCT